CCCAAAAAAAAAGGGGGGGCGCCTCCCCCGGGAAAAAAAAAATTTTTTTTTTTTTTGTTTTAAAGGGGGGGCCCGCTTTTTCCCCCCCCCCCCCCCCCCCCGCTTGCGGCGAACCGTGTATTTGTAGGAATGATTAGTTTTTCCCTTCCTTCGCACCCGCCTCCTCATCGGTAGCATCAAGAATCACCTTACACGCCAAGGTGGGCGGGGAGGCAGGCGGGCGCGTGGAGCGGAGAAGAAACAAAATCAGGCGGGTGCAAGCAAAAAGGCTGGGGGCACACGCGCGCGAGTGAAGCCGCAAGGCCACGCTTCCGGTAGTGAATCATCCGTCCCACTCCCCTGCCCCCATTTCCAACCAAAAGCGTTTGCGCCTGCATTTTCGGCTCTGACAAGGGATGGTCCGGCGATGAAACCTGGCACCATCGGTGCAGTGGAGTCCCTTTTCGGTCGTACAGACGCGTTCCGAGTGACACCGTTGTAGTCACGCGCGCGGCCAAGGAAGAGAGATATGTAGCCAACCCGGCCATAACAACAAGGCGGCGACGAGTGTGTCGCGCAAGACACCGACGTACGCACGCACACGAACGTGTGAGGGCCGCACGGCGTGGCCACAAGAAGCCAGTCACAAACAAGAGCGCCATCTATATGATCGACACTGAGCGTAGGCCGAGGGCACTCGCTCGCTTTGTCTCGCGCGGGAGGGGTGGGGGTGAAGCTTCCTCGGTGTTTCACGGCTCGGGAGACCCTGTCAGACTCAGCAGCATGCACACTACAAGAGCATCATCGTGCATCTCCGTTCCCGTCGAAAAACCCAATAGCACGACACCGCCCGTAACCCCAACGGCCCGCACAATCAGTGGCGGCTGCTACTAACCCTGGCCCCTTTAAGGATGTGGACTCCAAGAAATGTTGGGAGAGAAACAATGACCAAATCTTCGAAGACCCTCACCCAGATGCAAGCTCAGTATTGTTTTATCGGTGGACTTAACCACATGACCACCTTCACGAGAATCATGTGCATGTGTCCCTGCTTGTACGCCCAGTGTTCCGCCGTCCTGTTCCTCCTGTCTCTTGCCGACGGATTCGCCCCGTGCTGCAAAACACCAGTAGAGAGACGGGAGGGGGAAGAGGGATAGTGTTTGCCCCTATTGCGCCGCTGCCTTTAAGAAGAGGAAGTGTCAGCAGACTCTTCTCACACTCGGGGTCGAACACGGGAACAAAATGGGTGTAGGGAGGTTGCCATTTCTGCCCGTTCACCAGCCAAATAGTACCGGAGCGGATGAACAATCGGGCAGACAAAAATGCCAATATCGAATAGCATACCATTTATCGACAACGCATGTGTGCGTCACAACCCGACACCATGATATTTCGAAACATGAGACGGAACCCGAGCGGATAGGTTGCAGGTGGTGTCATACTCGACAAGCAAAAACAACACAAAACAAGAAAATTACCATGGACTCTGATCACTGGATAGAGATAAATGTGTTTCGTTCTGTAAGAAGAATGGAATAATGTTCTTGTCTTAAGTCGCACCTTCATGAGCAGGCGAACAATCTTCACGGAGCCCGAAGCTGCCCCGTGCATCAGGGCCGTCTCTCCCTTTGAGTTTGCTCGGTTCACCTTGTCAACGCGCACGAGATGAACCACATGGAGAACGAGCTTAAAGCAATAGTCATCCAATCCACACCAAGAAACACGCAACCTTGTGCAGAAGGCACGCATCTCTAATCGAAGGACTGCAATGGAGCTGGTATCTTGCAGTGAAATCAGTGAAAATAGAGGAATGGCCTGGAGTGTTTCGGGCTCTTCGATGTGCATTTTGGATGTATTTGTGAACCATTTTCTTTGGCAGCACTTTTGTAGCATCGCAAACTCGGGGTTGAGCATGTGAACGGGTAAGTTAGACATTTCCCGTGGAAAAAACGGGCATGGGACAACGGTCAGAACGATTCCCACAACCAAGAAAACAACACCGACTTAGTAACACGGTGTTGTACATTCGCGGGACTCATTGGAAGCAGCTAGCTACTCGTGGCGGGAAAAATCTGAACTTGCTATAATATAAGCCCATGATAGGTTCGATCAAATGAAGCAGGTTATGGGACCAAAAAACACGGAGCGAAGTCAGTCCTCACCTGAACCCCTGGACACTGCAGAATTATTCTCACGCACTCGTCCCGGCCGTTAGCGCTAGCCGCGATGAGCGGGGTGAGGTATGGGTTGGACGGGTCCACGTAGTTGAGGCTCACGTCTTGCTTCACGAGCCCGTTGAGCAGTACCAGCCGCCCCTGTTGATGGCAGCGTTGTGAAAAACTGGTGGCGTCACGTTCGTGTCATCGTTCGATTTACCTCGATGCACGGTCAAGTCAAGAGTGTACGCTCTCGGGTAGATGGCCAGTTACTACGGAAATCGCCCGCATCGGTTCGGCCAGAACGGACGGTATCGATAGGGACCGGAACGATACAATTACTGTGGAGAAAAAACAACAACAGCCAGTCACATCAACAACAGCAGCAGCAGCAGCAGCTACAACAAACACATAGACGCACCTGCGACGCAATCTCCATCAGATCCATCTTCTTGGGGTCCGCGCTGACGATGCCCGCGATGTGGAGGTGGCCTGCAGCGATGGCCAGATCAGAAGCGGTTTTCCTCCCGACGATGGCCTTGTCCCTCTTGTGTCTGGCGGCTCCGTGGCTGATGAGGCGAAGCACGCAACCCTCGCTGCCGAACCTTGCGGCGTGCATGAGAGGGGTCCTGCCCAACGCGTCCCTCACGTCCACCTGAGATGACCCCGTAAAGTATAGGGATGAGGTCATGATCGAAACCAAAAATAAAGGGGAGTGGACAATCCGTTGGTCTTCCGGGTGAAACTCGACAACACTCCAAGTCTCGCCGAGGAGAAAAACTTTAGGTAAAAGCGGGAGTATTGCCCCCCAAAAAGAAATCAAGACAAGCGATTGCCCGTCAAGGAAAAAAAAAAAAAAGCGGAGTGGCCCGATATCCTAAACGCCAAGAGCAAACACATTGACGGGGCGAGAAAGCACACACGAAAAAAAAAAAAAACGTACGCAAACAACAAGCTTTTTCCGGCTTTCGCACGCTTCCACAAACAAACGATCACGACAAAGGTAACGCAAACGATTCGCCTACATGGAAGGAGTCTCGCCGCACCTTCCCGGAAGCGTTCGATATAGCGCGGGTGATATCGCTTAGCACGTACCATGATACCCGCACAATATAGCCCGCCCCCATTCTCTGTACAAGGGACTAGGAGCAACTCACCTTGACGGAAGGGTCTGCGAGCAGCGCCTCGATCACCCGGTTCCTGGAGAATATCGCCGCCGCCGCTAGAGGTGTTAGGGCGTACTCCTCAGGCTCCAAGGCGGAACGGTACTTGTTGGCTCGCGCCATGATGTCGGGAAGGTCTGCAACCCGAGTGCTTTCGAACAGCCGCTTCATCGAGGTGATCCGGCACTCGTTTCCCGATATGCCCTTCATATGTTATGTGTGCGAACGAATGGAACAAAACCATATATCATGGGATTGGCCAAAATCCAAGCACGCGCATGACCGAAAAAAGGCTGTTACTGTTACATATGCTGTCCACTATAGTTCGCGTTGAACAACCTTTAGGTGATTCTTGGGCTGTTGCCGGAGTGAACGGGGATTCATTGCGTGACAACACACGCTTCTAACAAGAGAGAAAACGTACTACTACAAATACTGTATCTCATCATGAAACGACGGCATCTGCGGAATTACTAAGCGATTCGTCCAGTACCGGTACGGCCACCATGGCGGTCCGCAATCGACAACAAGCTCGATCCCCCCTCGTGAGTTACCATTTACCACCTACCAATCACGATAGAACACTGCTTCACGAGACTCCCATGAAAACCGCAACCGGCAGAAAAACTACAAGCGCGTCTCAACTATTTTTCAACATCAAGGGTATATCAGAAGCTTGTGTGTGTACGCATGTAGACGTACGTGTACACTGAAATCCATCTTTTTGGTTCGCACCTGTCGCATCAGCGCCCAGACCTCGTGCACCCTGCCGGCGGCGGCCGACTCTTGGATCGTGCTCACCGAAGGGTCCACCCGAAGAATGCACGCCACCTCGTCGTGCCCCGAACTCTCGGCGAAGCGTAACGCCGTCCTGCAGCAGCGGAAACCCGGGGTGCATGAAATGGTCGAAATGGACGACGCACCTCGCAACGACAAGTTGTCATGCTTGGGAAGGGTCTCACCATGTTTGTTTCCGGGAGCTTGTGAACAAGCATACATAGTACCGCTTGAATCAACAGTGCCCGGTTCAATGCGACCGGTAAAAACAGGTCTTAATGAGATTGCAGCACGCCCCACCTCGTGGGAGAATGGCTCGAGAATATCTGTCGAGCACGGAATTTGACTGCGTTCCGTCCATTTTTGCCGCAAGAGCAGGAACGTTCTACGACAGCACCAAAAATACAGGCGCACACGCAGCACAACACGCGGATGTATTCCTCACCTCCCCTGGCTGTCTACACTCCTTCGTCCCCCCGGTTTCAACGCCTCCAGGAGCTTCAGAACCACCTCCTCTGTGCCGAAGCCAGCGGCGTACATGAGAGGCGTCTGTCCCAGGAGGTTGGGGAGGTGGGCGATCGCGCCCGCCGACAGGAGACGCTTCACCATACCTGCGTGGCCCTGCTCCATGTACGCATGGGCGACGACGAGGGGTCGGTTTCAACCGGGGTTCAGGTCTAGTAATGCGGAGGTCCTACTGCTGTTGAGATAGCGACCAAGCAGCATGGATGTCCTGATAGCAGCAGGTCATTGGCTGGGCAATTGTAAGGCAGGACCTGTTCTCTATTGTAGGGTAGATGCTGCATTTTTCTTCATCTCTCTCGCTCTCCCCCTCTTGGTCTCTCTCTCCCTCTCTGGAATACTCGAAGGAGCACAACATCAGTGACAACCAACCAACGCAACTAAAGCTAGACGAACCAATTCAGTCGTACCAAACCGGCTACTCAAACCAACCTCTATCTATCACCAACGGAACAGAGGAGGAAAAGCGGGGTCGCCGCAGACCCAAACCACTTACCTGTGAGCACGCCGCGATGAGAGGGGTGTAGCGCTCGTGGTGCCACCCTCGGTAGGTCCTGATGCGGTGCCGGCTGTCCACTTGCACCCCCTGCGCCAACAGCCCGTCCAAAGCCGCACCGTCGTCGTTCGAAGCGGCTGCGCAGATCGAGAGCCTCTCCGGGTCGTACCTGCACGCAGGTACCAGCAGGCAGTTGCAAAACAGAAGGGGGGGGGGGGGGGGTACTCACTAGTCGTGCATGCCGTAAGTCGTTAGACCATTGACCTCGCATCCCTACAAAGCCGGGACGGAGCACGCCGGGTTCTCACCGGACCAGGCTCTCACATCACCACGCGCGAAGCGCCGTGAGGTATTCGGCGAGTCGCATGAAGGGTGAGTTGCATCCTGCTAAGGGTGTTCGGCATCTTGTGCTTACTTCCTTGCGTACGGATGACAGCTGCGTATGACTTAATTTATTTTCTGGTGCTTTCACTTCCAGAGGCAGTTGAAAGCACTGTGTAACTGCCTCGAGGATGCTTGACCATTTTAACACAACGTGGTGCGATCATCCCCCTTGCGCGGAGCGAGGGTTCTCCACCCCGCAC